AATTTGCCCCGCCTTAAAAATTGTTAAACATTGGCGTCAGTTATCTTACGGTCAAAAACTCTACTTGGAATCTTATAAAATGGAAAAGAACAGTCTAGAAGGTTGATGATTACTTACAGTTGTAAAGTACTAGTAAGTAAGGTAACTCCCAGAAAGATATCTTGAAATCAGTTCTGAGTAGTTATGTAAGTTTAACCGAATTATTTGTGCTGTGTCATTTGCATCCTCGGTTGTTGGCGGTATACTAATAGCAGTCTGTTTCTGATGTGGTTATTGGAGCAATTTAGCTTGGCTGTGAAGTATGGTGGGAAAGGGGGAAAAACTGTGGAGTTAAACAAAAAGACAAAACGTGTCCAAATCCCAGTCTTACCTCTTCCTAGCTCTCTGACGTCAGGCAAGTTGTTCGGCCTCTCTGAGTTGCCATTTTCTCTTCTGAAAAATGCAGGTAACCATGATTATGGTAGCTCCCCACCCATAGGATACTGGAGGAATGGATATAATGCCTCACACATTATAAGCCCCAAGACATGTTGCATATTATTGGTTATCATAAATCCATTAGATTATCATGCCATCACCTTTCAGCCGTAGAATGGGTACAACTCTCATACAGTCATACTTTTTAATTCTGTGGGAAATGGGTATTTTTCTCTGAACCAAGATTATCTCCCAAAAAAGGTTCTGAGGAGCATATGAGGTATCAAGAATGCCATTGTCCATGTTCTCGTCCCTTTTATAATTAAAAAATCCAACCTTCTGCAGAAGTACAGTGCTAAATGACAGCCCAGCCCAAGGACCACTTTGGCTAATTAGCACACTTGCATTCCAGGATTTCCTGACTCCCCGCTGCCACTTGTTGTCAGCTCCTTGAAACTGCAGAGACTGCCTCTGCAGGTGTGGAGAGCGTGCTTGAATCACTGAGGGTGCATGAGAGAGCAAATTATTTAGGCAATAGAGCTGAAAATGTGGGCAAATTAGAATTTTTCATAGCAAGATTGTGCATTGTTAAGCCAATGCATGATTATATGTGTGTGTCTCGCTTCAGATATTCTGCTACACAATAAACCTCTTTGCTGCGATGAATATGTATGTGGACTAATTTAATCAATATACTTGTGACAGTAGTGGTGTCTGACAGAACTCATCCTTTGAAATTCTGGCTGAGTTAATGTGCGCAGTATATACATGGGCCAAGACTCATAATTTGTGTTAAAAGACAAGTATTTTGAAAAGAAACAACACTGCCTGTTAGAAAATGAAAAAGCCTGAAGGATAGGAAGCAAAGGGCAAAGGGATTTTTGTCCTTTTCCCTCTTATTGGTCTAAAACCTCAAATTTAAGGAACTAAACTGCCTTTTTTTTTTTTAAATATTTATTTGAGAGATTGTGAGAGAGAGAGAGAGAGAGAGCATGAGAAGGGGGAGGGACACAGGGAGCCGGATGTGGGACTTGATCCCAGGACTCTGGGATCATGACCCAAGCTGAAGGCAGTCGCTTAACCAACTGAGCCACCCAGGTGCCCTGCTTTCTTTTTTTTTGGAAAAAAATACTGACAGGCATTTTGTTGTTGTTGTTCTCATTGATATATTTGAATTCTGTAAATTGACGAAAAGGTGGAGGGAAGTGGCTTTTATGCATTGTTGGATTAAATGGAAGGTTGAGTTAAGTGCCCTGGTCCAATCTGCAAATGTTTGCTTTCTGGAAATATCAACACATGTGATCAGATCACATTCAGAGAGTTTGCTTTTTGGAGCAGGTGGATTTTAATCATTTCCTAAAGAGCCCTTGCAACTCAGATTGTCTTCTGAGATAAGAGAGCCAACCCAGAGGGTAAGCTAGTCTAGTTTCATCTGACCATTCAGAATACTTGAACTTTGCTGTGGAGAACCCTCCCATCACGTTACCATGAGATTCCTGGTGAAGCTTTTCTTATACCCATTCTTTGGCCAACATTGTCTACAGGAATGAAGCACAAACGTGGTGGCGGTCAAAGGTCAAGGCTCATGGCCCGCGCTTGAAAATACAGGTCAATCTACAGTGAATCCATTCATATTAAGCATCTTAACCTCCATAAGTCTTGGGAAATAAGTCTCAGCTTGAGTGCCCTCCAGATGCTAGGACCCTGGGAACTGAAGGAAGGTGAAGTTTAGGAGCCCGACTCAAGCCAGCAGCCCTATCAATGCAGCGGTTTACACCAAACTCTGGGTCTGTGCTCCCATGACCCTCCCGCCTTCCCTTCCATTACCACCTCCCGCCCCCGCAGCCAGGCCATGAGTCGTTCCAAGGGCAGAAGTGCCAGGCTATGATCCCAGGGCCACCGCCATCACGAACAGACCCCTCCATGCCAGATCTCCATACCACTTGTAGGATCACAGCAGTCATTGGCAGGCATTTTGGACCTGCCTTAAGCATTACCATTTCATTTCTCATGCGTAATCCACTAGGAGCCCAGGCAGAATGAAGAGCAATACATTATTCTCCATTCGATCCAGATAGTTCTACTCAGTGTTCCCAATATGGTCTGCCCAGGGCCTTCATAACTTATAAAGAGCTAAATAAATAGATGTGCTTGATCTCTCCATTGTTAAGCTGGAAGGAAGGTAACTCTTGAAAGGTCTGGAGCTCAGCACTGAGGCTGCTTTAATTGCCTCACATCGTTTTGATGCCTACTTAAACTACAGGGTTTAGCCTAGTTTGTTTGTGTCTGATTTCTGTGATTACGGCTTGAGGTAAGACATAAGCAGAAGCAGCTCAGTGTCAGTCTTTTTATTTCACATATAAATTTTGTTTAATAGGTGGTCCAAGTACTTTATGTTGCCTAATTATTCTATTCCTTAGGGCTTGGGGTGGGAGAGGCTGGTTCTCATTGCAGACTAGTTAATTCCTGTGGGAAAATCCAGGCCATCACTCTCAGCTGATAGCACCTTTCAGAATGTCTCTACCACCGCGTGGCTTTTGTGTCTCAAAAATGTTGGACGTAACTCTGTCTAAAGCTACAGACAATATGTGACACAAAACTTGGCCTTGACTCTATTAAAAGTTTCAGAGGGGGAGCTATCAATGTGAAGCATCATTAGAGTTCAGATTTCATAAAGAATTTCCTTGAAGCAATCAAATAAGACACTAAGATGAGGCAGACTTAGAAATTATCATTTTTGTTTAATGCGACCTTACCACACATTGGGCTGCGGAGCTCAGAATAGACAGTATACAAAGACACCATTATTGATGTATTAGAAGGCTTACCCATTATGGAAAATATATTGGATGTGAAATTTTAAGCAGTCTCTAACTGGACAGTGAAGCTCACTATGTCAACACAAAAAGTGACTGATGTGAGAGGTGCCTGGGTGGCACAGTCGGTTAAGCGTCTGACTCTTGGTTTCAGCTCAGGTTCATAAGATGTAGCCCCTTGGCAGGCTTCGTGCTCAACGTAGAGTCTGTTTAAGATTCTCTCTCCCTTCTTCCTCTCTCTCTGCCCCTACCCCCACCTCCACACTCGCTCACTCTCTCTCTTTCTCCCCTAACTCTCTGAAATAAATAAATAAATCTAAAAAAAAATGATAGACACGAAAAGGGACTCTCCATCTGGAATAGCTTGTACTCCCTAAAAAGTCATCACAGTACTTGTACTAGTCCCCTGGAAAGGAAGTCAGCAGGTACACATGGTTTATAATGAGGCTAAATCCAGTAATTTAATGTATACTGTTTCTGAGTATTGAATGCAAACGTCACATCAAATCCAGAGTAAGTGGTTGTGGAGATTATTCCAGGGTATGGGATTATACTGGAAGGAAGAGCGGGCTGTATGCATGTGTGTGTTCCTCACAAGATGCAACATATTCCTTGGATACGTCATTGCATTGTGTAAGGCATGGGGCTAGGTAGGGGCTGTATGAAAATGAAGTACACTTAATGCTCTTACAACTCTGTTTGTGTGTGTGATATAGTAATCTGACATGATAGCCATAGTGAAAACTGTGGAAAATAAAACTTAGTGTAATGGGATATTCTGGGTACACTGGTGAACATTGCCACCCTCCGTATACAGCTCAATATTGTTCTTCTTTATTTCACATATAAGTCATATTTAATAAGTGGGCCAAGAACTTCATTTTGTCTAATTATTGCTGAGGTTATTTTTTTTTTAATCCTTACTTATGTCCTTTCCAACCAGCTGCGCTCAAGGTATATTGTGTTTGCTTAGAAATGTGCTTTGTCATATTTGAGAACTTCGGTGTGATAGCTATTAGATATTGGACGGTCTTCCAACGTGAGGCATCTTCAAGTGATCCGTTGGTTAGAAACATATGCACACTGTACTGGGCAATCAGTTTCTAGCATAAAGAACTGAGAAACTACATATACTATTCGTTAGGATTCACCATTATTAAATTCAGATAGGATATTAACTTTATGGTTGAAAGATTTTGATCGTACACAAATGGACTGATTTTTAACACATGCCAACTACATTAATTAAAAAAGATGATTAAGGCATTCTTAACTTGCCGGCATATGTAACTTATTAATATTTTGAATTGAATCATTTTCCTAAGCAGTCTTGACTTTCTGGAGTATATATATATTTTTCCCTACCAGTGGAGCTATAATGCTCAGCCAAGACAGATTTATGACCTTTTAAAAATAATGATGGAAAATGAGATCGGAGGAAACATTTTAGTATCTGCTTTGCTCTGAGGCCTAAACTGCGAGCTCTCCAGTTCTTGAAGGCTTTGAAATGCTGATTCCAGTCTTCTTGTGGGTTCTTAAACACCTTCTCAAATGACCCATTTTAATAACCCGAAAGCTATTATATAACGAGCAGCCATAATTTAGTCCAGGGCTCTAGGGGGACCCTCACAGTTCAGCAATGAATAGTTAATGCAGTATAATGTTTAGCAGGTTATTAGTTTTCACTATACAAATGCTGATCAGGGAACGCTTTTATAAGGTGTTTAAAAGAAAATGTAATTAACTGGTTGCGTGCTTCTGTTGCAGCTCAAATTGAAATTATTCCTTGCAAGATCTGTGGAGACAAATCATCAGGAATCCATTATGGTGTCATTACATGTGAAGGCTGCAAGGTAAGCCTTTTTAATTGTTGTTGTTGTTGTTTCTATTAATGTTAGAATGTGTCTTTGTGATGTGACTTCTCCTGTGTCTGAAAATTCAACTCCTCGGCATTTTGAGTGATGAGAGATGACAGGACAGAATAAATATTTTGGTGTTAAATTACAATTAAGCAAGTCATACATATTATGTCTTCCGTCAAAATAACAGGAGGCTAGAGAAAAGTATTTGAGCATTGCTCGTTTGTCACTTCCAAACCTACAATTGATAGAACTGATAAACTATCCCTTTGGTTATCTTTTTTAAAAAAGAAGTGACTCTGGATTTCTGTAGTGTCCCTGTTAAAAGCTTTATAGGAAGGTATTTCCAGTCGTTTAATCGGAATGTGATTGAAAGTCTTATTATTGGCCCACATATGTTGATACATCTGGCCAATTTATGGCAAAGCCATTGGAAAGAACTGGGTTCTGGTCCTAGTGCCATCCCGTGCCCCTCTTGTTGTGGGCTTGTCTTAATGTTTTAGTGACTCAGTTTCTTCATCTATAAAGTGGGCATAACACATGTTCTTCCTACCTCTTAGAACTATTCCAAGGATAGAATGAAAAACTGTGAATAAAAGTTCCTTATAAACTGAAAAGTGCTGTTTCAACCTAAATATTATCTTATTGCTGTTGTTACTGTTTTAATTATTGCTGATGCCGATCGAGGGCAATGTGTTATAGCACATGCATAATTTGAGAATCGGAATAGAGATGTTTATCCTAATCATTCAAGACCTCCAAACCCAGATTGCCTCTGTTATTCAAATTCAAATCTCAATTTATTAAGATTTAAATCCTCCTGCTTATATTGGAAGGGCCTTGAGACAGCTTACAGGATAAAACAGTGCAAAATAAATAGGCGAGAAGCTATTTAAACATGCAGGCGGCCTCTGAGACAACTGATTGCCACTGAACCAGGCTTGAATTAGCCCTAAGGCATTTTGAGGCTGCGGCAAAAGAAATAAAAATAAAAATAAATAAAATAAAATAAAATCCATGCATTTGGTTAGCTTTCCTTCAGTGAAATTAGAAAATATAACGTCACAAAATACAAAATCACCTTCAGACCCAAATAACTACTGAGAGACTTCAGGGAAGTTTGCCTCGTAATTTCCTTAAGTCTTTGTTTTACTGTTAACTCATCATCACATGTGCTGCTTTGTACACGTACAGATGTTTCATACTGATCCCATCTTGGGGACACTTGGGTTTTCTACATACCTCCAAACATACTTTTTTTCATCACCTGCCTTTTAGAAATAGGGGGCTTGCTACTGAAAGGGGATTTTTTTTTTTTTAAAGATTTTATTTATTTATTTGTCAGAGAGAGCACAAAGCAGGGGGAGTGACAGGCAGAGGGAGAAGCAGGCTCCTTGCAGAGCAAGGAGCAGATGTGGGGCTCGGTCCCAGGACCCTGGGAACATGACCTGAGCTGAAAGCAGTTTCTTAACCTACTGAGCCACCCAGGCATCTCTGAAAGGGGGATTTTGAATTGTTCCTCTTTATAGTAACCCTCAGGGCCTCAGGTTCTAGATTACCAAGAGAAAAACAAAATGATGTACTTTTACTTCTCAGCTTACCCTCCCTCAAAATTAATCAATTAAGTAAATAATAGTCAAAAAAATGAAATCAGCTGCCTGGCTTATCCCATCTGGGGACAACTGTCATCCTGTTGACTTTCAGAGTTACTTCTGCTGATGTGGCTGGGCACCTGTCACCCCTCACCTTCACCCAGACCTTCTTGTCCAGGCGCAGGATGGCACAGCCTGTCCTGGTGAAGCGTGTACAGATGCCAGGGCCCCCTAGCGGAAGTTCTGAGCAAACTTGACTCTGTGCGTTGCATCTCATCTAGTTAAGCTCTTCCGTCGACCGGGTTCTGGGCATTAACCAGGTGACCTTTCATTCTGCCCCGAGCAACTGGCCACTCTCTCCGAGGCTTTTAGAAATGCCACGTGTGGTTTTAGGTACCAACCAAAGTGAGCACCTCAGGTCGGCGTCTGAGGCAGGGCCAGAGTGGGGGTGAAGGCTGCTTTGTGTGAAATAACGCAACAGTGCAGAAAATTCATGAACAACATGCTGTTCAGTAAAAATGGGACTGTCTGAGAACCACTGGGCTTACATAGGCAGGAACAATGCATGTTTCCTTTTTATCCCCAATACTTATTTATGATGAAAATTAAAGCCATAAGAAAACAAAGGGCAGGTGGCATTTTATTGTTGTCATTTTTCTAGATTCCTTCCCCTGATCTTGTACAGCCCTGATGCCGAAGTGCATTAGGGTTATCTGTGGTTCTGTTCTCCTGTCCTGTTGACTTTTGTACAACAGAAATCACCAAAACAAACAATTAAAACTTAATTTTATTAACAGACTGGGCCTAGGCCCAGTCTGGGACCTGTACAGTGGTATGTGTTTATATTGGATGCATATAGTGTTTGCTGTGCAATTATAGCTTCTCTGCCGTAATTAATCTTTTTACTTCTGGTTGTGGTGAAGTCAAGAGACTTCTGCTTTCGCCGGGGACGCTAAGGATTTATCATTCTCTAACCAGGTGCGGGTGGTTATGGCATCATAAATTATAAATAATTTATCTCTGTGATAGGATCAGTAGACATATGGAAAATTTCTAATTATGTGTATAAATAGATACCTAATGAAAAGAAAAGCAAGTCACTCAATCATTCCCGAGCTCATCGTTTTGCGAATGTATTTTAAATTGCGTTTTAAAGCCAACCATCTGAAACCCTAAGAAACCAAAGAACCTGTTTAGTTGCTGAGATGATTATTTCTTTTACCACATATTTGCTCAGGTAAGCATTGCACATAAGCCTCAAGAATGATGCAAGTTTGGTAGCTCTTTTCTCTGGCTCCTGGGTGTTCCCAGCCTACTCTCTCCAAGTCCCCTTTGCTTCCCTGTAGAGAGACAATATTGTGGCATGCTTATGCTCTGAATTTGGAACCAGACTGCTTGGGTTTGAAGCCCAGTTCTGCTTTACCAGCATGAGCATCTACCCAATCTCTCTGTGCCTCTGTTTTCCCCGTCTGTAAAATGAGGATAGACACCGTAGTTACTTCCCAGTTAGGTAACGCACCGAGAAAAGTGCCAGGCATACAGCAGTCATTCAGTAACTGTTGGCTGCTGTTAGAATCATTGCTAGACAAATTCTGTACACTTGAGTCATGCTGCGCTAGTCAGATATCATTTCCAGAACATGTATGGGTCCAGTCTTGATTTTTTTCTGTGACCATTTGCTATTTTTTATGTGGACTCTGCTATTAAAAACAAAAATATGAGCACCCCCTTGGGGCCAGGCACTATATAAGCACTGTAAGTGTTTATATCCAGAAGACCTGACCATGTCAAGCAGTTTATGGTGTAGTTGTAGAGATGAGGTCTGCACAGGGGCAATGCAAGAACTAAATCCTAGGTTTAATAAACCAGAAGTAATTTTTAAAAAGGGAGGGGGCAGTTCAGAAAGAGATCCATGCATTTAAGGTCAATTAAATTTTGACGAAGATGCCAGTTGAATTCAATGAAGAAAAGATGGTCATTTCAAATAATATTTCTGCAACAATTGGACAGTCATATATGAAAAAAAATTAACTTCACATTTATACCTCTCACTGAAGGCAAATATTAACTTAAAGAATGTCCTAAGCATAAAACGTGACTCTATAATATCTCTACAGGAAGTCATATATTTTTGTAATAGTAGACATACAAATATTGCTCAGACCACACACTGAAGTCCTTACCTTATTTTTAAAAAGAGCAAATTGGGGTTAATAGAAATTAAAAACTTGTACCTTTCAAAAGATATCATCAGGAAAATGAAAAGGCAAGCCATATACTGGAAGAAATAAAAGAAAAAAACCAACAAATTTTAAAATAAACGGACAAAAACAATAAAAAGATACAGTAACTTGAACAATCTCTTCACAAAAGCTGGACAAGGAACCCGTGAACACGTGGCTATATTCTCAACATCTTTAATCATTAGGGAAACGTAAATAAAACTGCAGTTTAAATACCATGCATTTAATGCATTAAATGCATTAACCTGCCTTTAAATTCCATGACCTGTTCATTTGAAAGGCTAAAATTAAAATAGAACAAAACAAGTAAAAGAGCAAAACCACTGCCTAGAACAGACATGATGATGATGCAGAGAGACTGGCAAATCTTGCAGTCTTCTATGCGACTTGAGGGTCTGTGACATGGTACACAGCCCCTTTGAAAAAAGATGGAACTATGATCCGTTATCAACCTAATGTATGACCTAACGACCCATCCTAGACATTTCCCCAAAAGTAACAAAAGCACCTGTCGTAGAAAGACTTTCAGATAAATATTCATAATGGCCATAAACTGGAAACAATCCAAATGCCCATCAGCTGATAAATGGATAAAAGAGTAAGAGCCGTAGAAAGGAGTGGCGCTTAGCAATAAGAGAAGATATACGGTACGTGCACAGAACAACATGATCGTGAATGAAAGAAGCCAGAAACAAAAGAATAGTTACTGTATGATTGCATTTCTGTGTCATTCTAGAAGAAGCAAAAATTTTAAATTTTAAATCTATAATGGCAGACAGCAGATGTGGTAACCTGGAACTGAGGTAAGGAATGACTGCTAAGAGAAAGACACTTTTTGTGGCTTGTGGCAATGTTCCACCTTGATCGTGGTGGTAGTTCCACAGGTGTACACATTGTCAAAATTCATCAAGGTGAACTCGTCACAATGGTGCATTTTTGTATTTAATTTATGCCTCAATGAAGTGTATTTAAAGCACACACATATATATATAAAGAACTAAATCCTGAACTAAAGCTACAGTCTATGGTGTGGCACAAATAACACATACCCATGAGGCAGCAAGAACCTGGAGGTGGGGAAGTCTTGGTTGTCTTTTAGGGACAACATATAACCCCGGTTGACTGGAACAAGGGGTCACTTTCTGTGGATTGAGGGAAA